AACACCGTACACGAATGGGTCGGATCAACAACGAATAATGCGAATGCGGAGAAGTCGAATTAGTTTCCTACGTTCTCCTCAACTACTCTCTGCTTTAGGAAAGCCGATAGAAGATACTCTAAGATAGTGGACTAGAAAAGAACAGCCTATCAGCCTTACTCGGCGGAAAGCTACTAAGTAATGCCGCAGCTACCTAGAGTAAAGACAACAATTGGAGAATAACAGCATCACAGCTTTAGGCTGTGCTTAACTTTGCATAAGACTCATAACGGTTTAAGAATAGAGACAATCCTACAGCATAGAACCTCTACACCACTATCCCCTCCTACCCTACTATCCGCTCCCGTTACCTTCCTTTTTCCTCCCAGATTGACAAATTATATGTAAACTAGTAGCAAAACTCTTGAATAGTCGTAGCCTGTATATCGCTTAGGGCGATGGGTCAGGGTAAATGAATACAACTCAACTTAACTCAACTCACTTTAAAATAATTAAGAAAGAGAAAAACATTAATCCGCTCATATAAATAGAGTCGCAGTGTAACATCCAACTCTGCGAGTGAGAGTCGCCAAGTCGCGTTGGTAGTTCTTGTATAAACAACTATGAATCGATCTGCTAGGCTGATTAAAAGATCTGAAACATCTAATAAGAAAAATAAATAACTAGAGGCGCATTTCGTAAGATATTAACGTCCGTTACTGCGAACTAAGTTCCACCGTCTAGCGAGACAGGGCATAATATAATGTTGAAGTGTACGCAGTTTATATTGCTTTTTCTATGGCTTAGTCATTTAGCACAGGGTATAAGAGGACTCCGCCTACCGGGCTCCTAATAAGATCATGCCACTTATTACTATCAATTGAAACCCTATTCATTGCAACAGTTATAAGCCCGGAAATGCGTTTGATGCCTTCTACTATCTAAGCGCATATCTACAAAATAATACTGACGTCTTAAGGTATCTAAGCGTCGTCTATACTCCTCGCTATTAAGGACACGTTTCCAGTTATATATCATCTAATAAGTAACACTTTGCTATTGTCTATCAGCATTGTTATTAATCATTAAGCTGAGCACTCTTTGCATCAAATACACGAATTCGGCTAGCGCTGATATTCTTAAGTTACCGTAGAAGCACCGTACCGACTCGCTGGCACGGTCGTATAAAATACTAAGTCGGTCCGACAACGCTATATAATCACGATGGCTTCCTCTAAGCTAATTATCGTCCTTAAATCCTTACACGAGTGGGAGGAATAGTACTTTATTGTCTAATCACGGGTAAAGAAGGCTAACGTCCTTAAGTTTATCGATCCAACCTAACCGACTCTTCCTAAACAACTAAAGAAGCTACCGAGGCTATTAGCCCCGGAAAACGATAGCTCTGCAGCTAAGCTTTCAGCTAAGAAGCTAGAATACGACTTCTATAAGGAGGATAGGAAAGAGTATAATCGCAATGTTAAGGATATTAACGATATCTCTTCGCTTATCGAGGATTCGATTAGCTTCTCTCTACAGCCACTGCTACGGAACCTAGCGGATGCGCACCCGTATAATTAACTACGTGTACTATAGGCTCGGCTGTAGCCCTCACGCGACACACAACAAGACCTTCTACTAAACCAGTTAAGGCAACTAGAGAAGCCTCCAACCAATCAGAATATCGATAGATAGCTTACCCAATAGGAAGAGACCATCCTCAAAGCTCGAGCAGTCGACCTACCCAACGTCAGTAGTAAACAAGGCCTTAGGTCATTCCTCAGACCTCTCCTCCAGCATGACTCGCAGTACGCGGCTCCAATCTATCAAAGGCTTATTAACGAAGGGTCTCCCTACAACAAGGATGTAATAGACCTCATCTCTAAGTATCGTAGATATACACAGCAGCTACGAGCGGTCACTAACCCTAAGATAACTCGGTCCACCTTCGCCGCCTCATTAAAGGGACAACAGCAGTCCAATAAACCACCACCTTGCCTATACGGCTACAACCACTAGTATACTCAGTATTACTACCTAAACACTGAAGCTCGCCCTACCGGTTAGAAACCAAATGAGAAAGTTCAGAAGCAAGTCCAAAAGGCGCTCAGCAATCCAACAACAAAGGACAATATAGAAAGGGCTATCGCCAGATCGAAGAGTATAAACAAGCACAGATCGCAAGAAACCTCAACGGGCGAAAAAGACAAGGACGATAGCGGAACAGCAACCTCCTTTACAGCCGCTATTATCGCAACATCTTTTGCAGCCCAAGGACTAACGCGACCTACTACTCTTAACCTCTCATAGATCACGGACACGGGCACTACCCATCACGTCTGTAACAGATTTATGAGTAAGCGTTTCACCAAAACACGCAGTACAGGCCCAGAGGATTTCGTTCTCAGCGGGAACAGCGTCGTTCCGGTAGAATCATTTGGCACTATTACTATAGAGGCAAGCAGGAACAACAAGCGTAAGCCTATTATTTTAAGGGAGGTAGCATATATCCCTTCCTTCATAGGCAACCTTATCTCAATTGGCAAGGCAAACGAGAAAGATATCCACATAGACACTAGACGAATATGCCTCTACAATAAGAGGGACAACAGTATTATCTACAACCTCACCTTCGCAGAGGGACATTTCTTCGCGGAATACCATTCTGCCAACACTGCCTCGGCTCCAATTACTACTACCTTAACTACCCGCAACCTCCCTGCGGAGCAGTAGCACTCTATCTTCGCACATACAGGCTCGAATACTATTCAAGCTTTGCCTAACGCCGTGTCTAGTATAAGTCTAAGCAGTAAGAACCTACCTATCCACTGCGATGTCTACGCCAAAACCAAGGCTCATCAACAAATCTCCCGAACCACCAGTAATCACGAAGAAACATCCTCAGCTCTATTCTTTCGGGTCTCTCTAGACCTCATCTAAATGACTCCAGCTTTCAACTATCACGAGTAGATAACGCACCTTGATTGCGTATCTACTAAATACGTCCTCGCTAAAACTTATATCACTAAATCCGACTATAATATAATCGTCCTAGCAAAGCTTAACCAGATTCTAATTCGCTTTCACCAAACAACAGCCTTTCTTCACTCTAATAGAGAGCGTTCTTTTACGCAAGAACTAAAGCAGGAGATTCACCGAAGAGGAATTACGTAGGAGACTTCGTTACTATATACTCCTGCTTAAAATAGACACGCCGAACGCTCCGGCTACTCTCTTATCCTCAAGGCAAGAGCACTTCGCATTAGAGCTAACCTTCCTAAACGTCTATAGCCAGAAACTATAAAGGCCGTAGTATACATCCATAATCGGACGCCAATCCAACGTCTTAATTAGAAGACTCCTTTCGAACTAGTTTATAGAAAGAAACCCACTACTAACCACTTACGAGTATATAGCTACAAGGCCTACGCACTCGACAAGATAATACCGAAGAAGGAGAAGCTAAGAGCCAGAGTTCTTATTGGCTATTTAGTTAGATATAATTCCACTAACATCTTCCGCATCTAGTACCCGCCAGGGGACCGCATCCTACGAGTCCGAGATATCACTTTTGATAAATTGACCCGCTATTCACTAGAAGACAAGGAAGAAGCACATAAGGTTCTAGAGGTAGAAGAGGAAGACGAACCATTAGAAATAGTCCCAAGGATTCGGCTAAGTTCAGAAGGGTCGACTGAATCTAATAAATCATCAGCGGAGGATAAACCCGCCTATGTGGTAGAACACACAACTAAATCACCCTTAGTATCACGTAACACAACTACCCAAGGCAGCCCTTTAAGGCGAATACCTCTATCTACTAACGCGCAAAACAAACGAGGGTAATTAATTACCCCTACACCATCGTCAAGAGAATAAGGAACTCCCCAGCCAGTATAGGACGAGGACACCTTTACGTCCGCACCATTCTCGCTAGCAAGGAATCAAGAGCCTAAAATATTAGGGGGCGAAGAAGAGGAACTACCTCGCCGCCTAGGACGGCTTATTCCTACTCAGTACGAGACCGAACCTAATCTAGCAGCAGCTTCAGGAAATAGAGCTCCGAGAGGCTCTCAAATCAACGCAGATATTAATCCGAATCTTATTCTCGACAAACCCCGCAGTCGAAGACGATCAACTCGCCGTAATACGTACGTTACTATACTCAACAACAACTACTATAATAAGCAATCCTTTCAAGCTGCATTCCTAGCAGCACTAGTAATAAAACCGCAATCGTCACTTCCGTCAATACCGGATACTACACTCAGTAGTCCGCCACTATTACCGAGAATTCGCAGAGATAACCTACCACCAGAGCCCCAGCACTTTAAAGATATAGCAACTTATTCGCTACGAGAATACTTCCACTATACCATGCTCAAGGAACTACAGGAAGTCCAGGGTAAGGGGGTATAGACAGTAGCAGATTTTACTAAAGCCCAGTCACTTAACAAAGAGATAATCCCTCTTACCTAGGTCTTTAAGTACAAATTCGACGAACACGGCTACCTTATAAAGGTAAAGGCAAGGATCTGCGTGCGAGGCGACCTCCAGACAACGACTCAGGATACCTACGCCGCTACCCTAGCCTTCCGCATCTTCTGTACCCTTATTACTATCATCTACGCCTTTAATCTCGAGACTAGGCAATATAATATAGTTAATGCCTTTCCCCACGTGCTACTAGAAAACGAAACCTTCTATGCTCCGCCTAAAGGTATAAAACTTCCACACGACTAAATCCTACAGCTAAAGCGCGCGCTATACGGATTAAAAGAATCACCTACCTTATAGCAGAAGTATTTTTACAGAACACTATAGGATCTCGGCTTAGAAGCTGTCCCAGACGCTCCCTACCTTTATACCAACGAACATTTATTCGTTTTCTTCTTCGTTAACGATATCATCATAGCCTTCTATAAACAACACGAAAAGTTCGCCAACGCCTTTCAGAAAGACCTGTTCCAGCGCTATAAGATAAGGATAATAGGAGAAGTCCAGTAGTTCCTTACTCTTCGGATAGTAAGAGATCGCGCTCAGCGACTTTTATAGCTCTCTCAAGAGTCATACATCTCCAGCATTATAGCTCGTTACAACGTCAAGGAAAATCCAAATACGCTAACGCCACTACCGGCTGATAAACAGTTGGTTCTAAACGAGGAGGACTACGCCACGCCGTAGGACGTTTATACGTATTAAAGTAAGATAGGCTTAGCTTAGTTTATAGCCGTTAGCACGCGTGCAGATATTGCCTACGCTTGCTCTTTCCTCTCTACTTATTTAAGCAACCCCTCGCCGCGACACCAGCAGCTCGCTTAGCGCTTGCTCGCCTACCTAGGCGCCACTCGCAAGCTAGCTATCTGCTTTTAGGGATATACCCCCGAGCAGGCAGTCTTTACCATCAGTAGTAACGCATTATATAGCAACGACCTAGCCACGCGTCGTAGCCATTAGGGCTTACTAATTACACTATTTGGAGGGCCGGTCGATTAGAAATCCTCTAAACAACCTATAGTTACTACCTTAAGTACTAAGGTAGAGCTCCTTGCTCTGTTAGATACGGCCAAGTAGTGCTATTGGTAGAAGCGTTTCTTCCGAGGAATAGAGTTTAATCCTAGACACTACATTGAAATTTAGTGCGACAACAAGTAAACTCTTCGCCTTATGGAAGAAAATGTTGCTAAGCTTATCACTAAGCTTAGACATATGGATATTCATCATCACTGGCTTCGCTAAGAAGCTTAGGCAGGAAACGTTAGCTTTCGTTAGACTCCGACAGCAGATATAATAGCCGATGGGCTAACTAAATCCCTTCCAAAACAAAGGCACTAAGCCTTTAGTAAACAGCTCGGCCTAGTCCCTACGCCTGAATAAGATATAGTAGAAGATGACCACCTTAGATTAACTATTTCTTTATCTACATCAGCCACTATCTTTTTACTATCTTACCTTTCTCAATACTGCAGCGTTTATCGCGTACTGCCTAAAGCGGCACTACGCGAAGGGGGTGTGTTGAAGTATACGTAGTTTATATTGCTTTTTCTGTAGCTTAGTTATTTAGCACAGGGTATAAGAGGACTCCGCCTACCGGGCTCCTAACAAGATCATGCCACTTATTACTATCAATTGAAACCCCATTTATTGCAACATATAATTAGTCCTTATAGAGTACTCCTTGCCTAGCTCATAGTCTAAGTCCTAGGCATAGGTGAAAAGGTCTTAGAGCACATATAGTCTTAATATATTAGAACTAGGTATCTTCTTCTACTCTATATAGTTATTACTATCTTGCTTTACGGTATATCTCGCTTCACGGTAACCGACGTTAAGACCAATACTGAGTTCCAGTTGTGGTTAGTTGTGGTACATGATTGGTGCGACACTGAACAAAATGGCTACACAGCTTCGTGGCTCTCACCCGGCGATAATTGGCTTGCATTAGCCCTTACACTCAGCCTCCTAACTATTTTTAAGCTTAGTTTCGCCTCGAAACGCTAAGAGCTATGCCAGATAAGCGCAAGCCAATAGCTTTTTCTAGGGCTTTTATTAGACGCGTTTGCCTGTGATGTAAGGGCCGCAGACCTACGTACGTTTTAGTCCGCTGTGTAGCACGTCGGCATCAGATATCAGATGTTTTCTGTAACTGGCGTTGTTCCAGATTTGTATCAGGCAGTCGGTTTTTACAGGCGACTGTACATGTTACTTAACTTTTGGGCACCGTGCGGGGCTCGGGCAGACATCTAGAAATCCACTATTATAGCGTTTTATAGCTTCCCTATACGAATCCATTTCATTTATTGCCAGGTAGGTTAATAGAATAGTTATGTCTAGCAACCGATTACTCCTGCGAACGCATGATTTTCAGATATGTTTCCTTTTGGTGATTCTATTCCAATGGAGAAATATTTCAAGGGATCGCAAATGCAATGATGTAATGGTGGCAGAGCCGAAGGCGCTGTTGTGCGACGTTACTAAATTCTCTCGGCTGACCACCACTTTTGTCCCAACGCAATGTAATACAGCATGATACCTGCTCTGCATCTGTCAGAAAAGGGGCAGTGAAAGGAAATGAGAACAAAAATAGAAAATAAAGAGTCATTTTCTACTACTACTTCCTCCAAAACCTACTTTCTGTCACCAACATCCCAGAGATTGTTTGTCGCAATGTCGGAAACGCGAGAGTCGGCGTATAGCACGCTCGAACTAGACAGACGCCAAATGGGCGACGGTCTACCTGAGGTCCTACCAAACACCGATGCACCGGAAGCTTTCAACACTGGAGAGAAAGAGACCGCGAAAAATGCAAACAAGCTCCCAGTTGAAAAGTCCCCAGTTGAAAAGAGGGTACCAAATATCTGCGGTATGCGCAGAAGGCTGTTCTGGATTCTGCTAGTTGTGGCTTTGCTCATTGTCGCTGGCGCCGTGATTGGGGCAGTATTTGGCACGGCACGAAACAAACGCTCAAAGAGCCCTTCCCATGGCGACATCCACCAATCGCCTAAGAATGGTACTGAGATATATAAGCGAGGCATTTCTAGGAACTCGCAACTCGCTACTGCTAACTATACAGACAAATTAGGTATCGACCATTCTCAGCTTTACTACCAGGATAATTCGCTGCAGATCTGGAGTGCCGATTGGAACAGCTCAGCCAGCAACTGGACTCTCTACGAAGTATTGTCTCACGATAACAAGACAATAATTCCTAAGGATGGGACGCCGATAGCCACAGCTAATTATTGGCGGCCAGAACTTGGTGTACGTCTAAATACTTCCATGGTTCCAAGGCTCTTGTTCTTCCATCTTCAACACTAACAGTCAGCTGAGTAGAACACCGATTACCGCTGTCTTTTTGTCGACAATGAAAACTTCGTCCGGATTTTCTTTATCATTAGAGGAGCTACCTCAGACCCGTGGGCCATATGGCCCGCTATAGATCGGGTCATGCAGGTCAGCGAAAACTCCAGCCTCGTGCATTATATGCGGCAGTGCGATGGCTGTGATAATTCCGACTTTACTTCCTACGAATCTCAGGCCGGCGATCTTATAATCCACTATCCGTTCAGTAATGGCGACGGCGGCGATGTCACTGGCAAGCTTCAACCTAATGGCATCGTCATTGACAAGTACACTGCCATGGCCGTCGCCCCGCTCCCAGCGAGGTCGTCCAAAACTGCGTCGGTGGCCATGTATCTAGTTTCCGGGGGGTTATTAGCCGAGATCTATGGAATGTGGGGCCAGACTTGGGTAGTGTCTGATTTGAGTGAGTTTTGTCTCTTAAAATACCGACACCTCCGCTTAATCTCTCTCCCGCATCAAGAACACAGGCTAATGGCAATATTTCTTCCTGTTTGGCAGTATCCACGAGACAATACAGCGTCGATAATGGAGCTCAACTTGCGGCAATAACTCAACCAACAGGAGCGGATTTCAAGAAACAAGTCTTGATAACAAAGGCAGACGGAGGAGTGAAGATGGCGTACATGGATGGATCAGATTGGTGTTATCAAGATAATGTCGATGGGATGGAGAAAGTTCTACCACTCTCGCCGATCGCAGCAAACCAACTTGGACGGGTATATGCGCTCGAAGATGGCCCGCAAGTTGTTGAGTGGACAATGATTAATGGCTCGGTCCCGACGTTTAAGCGCGTTGGAGCAGTCGACACGACAGGCGGACGGTCATCATAGTGCTTTTGCCAACAGAGGCGCAAATGCGAGCAAACAAGTACAGAAAGAGTGGTCTGAAGTTTAATGGACAAAAATGTTCCTGTGATCAGCGTCGACTGGCTTGCCAATCTCCGTTGTCGGCGGCGAAGTGAACGTGAAAGACCCTACCGCCATTGAAGACCGCATCATCACATGTCTTTCACGCCTTGAGATGCACGTGAGTCGGCTGTTTCTATTTTCGATGTCCTGTAAATAGCTGAAACTGTAGATACCGTAGCTAAATAGGAAGATAAAACATCCGTAGTATACAGAATCCTTGCTATACTAATTTCACAATTGTAGATCCCTTTCAGAAATCCGTGTAAGAATATCAGTAATATGTAAATAATGCCCGGAAGAATCTTTATATATGGTACTAATTTTATAGGACAAGTAGAACAGCACTTCGAGTAAATAGTAGTTAGAGCATTTTTCGATTTATAAGAATAGAGTTGGATCTCCTCAAAAACGGATTCGAATACACTTCTTCTTACATTAGTCTTCATATACACTTCAATGCCGATAACTAACGACGCAATATATCAGTTTGGCACTAGAAGCAGATCTTGGGTTCTAGGCAAGCGACCCAAAGCCATGTCCATCAATAGCCTTCTTCGCTGGATAGGATGCCCCACCTAAGCCCTCCAGCTCGTAAAAACATTGATCGAAATGAAGACCGCTCATCCCCCAGTGGGCTGAAGGAATCTTTTAGCATCCGTCCCGACATATACCCTCTCAAGTTTCGGGTACCCCACTCTTTTGCTCTTAGAAAAGAAAAAGTGCTTGGTTTCAAAAACGTCGCTCTCTAATGGTCCGATTACCTTGTGACAATGCATGCCCAAGGTCCAAAGAGATGGACTGACGGATTCGTGCAGGGCAGGATTCTCTCTGGAAAGTTCGTAGAGGACAAATCAGCACTGAACATGCCCCTTTGCACGGTCTGTGATCAGTTGAATCGGAACTCTACATAACCACAAGATACCACGAAGTCATAGAATGAAGAGACTGTGTACGACAAGCTAAGGGTATAATCTTGAAGATTATTATCAGGGAAAGCGTTGGAGAAAATCGCATTTACGAAGCCTTGAAAGTGAGCAAGAGGCCGCAGTAAGCGCCAACGCAGCACAGAGCAAGCGGCCAAACTACACAGCCCTACCCTAGGCGCCCAGTTGAACGAGCCATCTTCTGGCACAGCAGCCATCCGTGCGACTGAACATTCACCCGCATCAACCGGTCACCTTCACCAACCCTGTCACAACCGCCGCACCATCGTATGTTTAGTATGGCGGCGAACACATGGCAACAAGGTAACAAGGTTCAGGTGAAACCAGAACTCGTCTTGGCCAATGAGCAACTGAGCCACGTCGCGATGACAAAGTCAGGGGTTTCTTCGTGAAGGCGTCCTGCCTTGTGTTCGGGTTGAACTGCCCCGTTCAGAGAACCACCGGTGAACCCTCGGACACTGAATAGGCACGGGCGGTGGAAGGCGAGGGCGATCTCGTGGCTGAATGGAAGGCCAACGCGTTCATCGGATATATACTGCTACAATAGCACGGATATCGGGCTCCGCCACATCCGAGAAGCCGATGTGGAGTCCTGCAGATGATGCACGCACAGAGGGCGAGGCTCGCTCTCGGGTTCATGCCGAAGCCTAACTACTACATACACACGATACAATGCAATACCTATCGATGTAAGCTTATTCTAGCGGCCGGATCACGAACGAGAATTCACCGAAAAACAGTTTCATAAATTTGATGTTCAGCGAAAGATAGGGTCTAAAATTGATGTAGCCTAGTGTGAGTAGCAGAGTAAGACCACAGGTGATTATGGTCACTCGACTGCTTCTTTCAGCTGCTGCTGGTAATAGGGCTCGTTCGTTCCAGGCACTTGGGCGCTAAGGCAGTGTGATGTTCATCCCTACAGCGAAGGTCCCTTCCCAATTGGAAGCAAATAAGGAAATCATCCATCGATCAGGGGTCAACACGAGGGCAAGCGGTTCAACGGCAGAGGCAGTGCTTGAAGAGTTTTCTCATCAGCGACAACAGTGCGTTTGATCATGTCAAAGAAATCATGCAAGCATTTCGAGGGGATGAAGTGTGAAGTCTTGCATTGAGAGCAAAGCGTAGGACGTCTCAGCAGCAGGAGGAGAGTTCGTAGGGCCCGTAGGGCTCCTGGCCGCTAACCCCAAGCGGAAATGCGGACACGAGTTTCACCCCGCAGTAATTTAGTAAAAGCGCAAAAGGGGAAGATCGACCCCGGACTTTCCCCGCCGAGCTCTCCGCCACGTCACCTTGTCATGTCCAGCACGGTGAGACTTCGTGTCCGGATGTCGGGCGAACGCCTCGACACCATGCGCCACTCCTTACTTGCCTATTCCCATCCCGGGGGTTCTGCCACTATCTACATACCCTCTAATCGATATCGCTAGCGACTCTGTCTTCGCTCGCTAAAGCCCAGTCAGCGGCAGAGCAACGGGACGTGCAAGTTACGACGTACCGTCTGCATTCTTACGACCATCGGCATTCCACTTTGAACAGCACATCCGGCGTTGGTACTCGGCGACTCCGGCGCACCGGTGTGAGTGTCTCAAGCTCACATCACGGTAAGGCTTCCCACAGCCCTACAAGGATGAGAACGGACCACCCCGATCGTCACGGCTGATTTCGGCCTGGAGAAAAAAGAAAATACGAGCTAAATGTAGGAGACACGGGCGGAAGGGCCAGCTCCAAGGGAGGTAGGACCAGAAGCCAGAGAGGTATATATACTGTCTGAACCACCTGCTATTCTCTCACCATCCTCTCAAGCCATCCAGTCGCTCCAGTCAAGACAACAACCTCAGTCCGCTCCTTTCACGAGACTTCTCGCAAAAACAACTTCATTCACTTTCAAAATGCACTTCACCAAGGCCACGATCATCGCCATGGCGGCGCTCCTCTCTTCCGGTTACGCCCTTCCCAGCGGTCTCGATGCCCGCCGCTCCGGCGATGCTTGCCAGGTCCAGCAATGCTGCGATGATGCGGACAACCAGTGCCGCACCGCCCCGGAGGCCAACATGAGCAAGTGCTCGGCTGACAAGGACACCTGCTACACCAACATTGGTCTCCCGAGCCCTTACGGCAAGGCCAAGCGCGATGCCCCCACCAAGGAGTCCTGCGACGATGCGGACAACAAGTGCCGCACGGCTGATGACGCCAACATGAGCAAGTGCTCGGCCGACAAGGATGCCTGC